CCCCAAAACCCCAAAACCCCAAAACCCCAAAACCCCGTAATTGAAGATTTAGGAAATTTATAGGAAATAAGTTTTATAAAAAAATTCAAGCTTGAATATTAATAAAATTATTGTGAAACAATGGGATGCTGTGAGTCAAGGCCTGAACAATAGGCTTAATTACAAACATAAATGCAAAATAAACATGAGCAACTTAATTTCTATTTTGGAAATCTAGGAATTGATGATGAATGCGAATCAATCTTCAAAGAAATGGATAAATCTATAATGGGAAATCAAAGAGGTTTAAGTTAGTCAATCACTACTGGATAATTTATTAAGAGATCTCGAAGTCAAGGACTAAGCAGTAGTGGAGTGATGCACAAGAAAAGACTACCAAATGTTCTTAGAATTAATGCTCATTCACCCGATAGATCTTATTAGTTTGCCGATCACAACAATTCCATTTAAAGAGAGGTAAGAATTTTTGGCAATTTACTCCAATCTAGAACTCTTCATCAAAGGATAACAGTGCTCTAATTCGTAAAAACCCTTTAGAGTACTTTGAGAGGTCTTAGCAAAACATTAACACTTCGGAAAGCACGCCAATAAGACCAGTAAATGGATAACAAATATTTAGTCTTTAGTTCTACAACATCAGCAATAATTGCATCTTGAAAAAGTAGCAGAGTGTAAAGATCTCTGATCTCCTTCAAGACTCGCTATAACTCACGGACAGATCGAATAATTTATAAGACTTCTCTCAAATCAACAACTAAAATGAAATTATTGAAGAATTAGAAAATGAGTTCTCTCAGAGATAAGATACACAACTTTCATTGAACATGGGCAGAGTTAGTCCAATACTCCATAAGCACTAATCTGATAAGTATCTAAAAGTACCCCATTAGAAACCATATTTTATTGAACCATACAAGAATGAGTAGTCCGGGGGAGTAATGTAAGGAGGATAACTGGGATCGCCTTGTAAGCCTTAATTCAATGAGGATGATGAACCTGAGTCTCCTTATTAGAAAAGATAAACTGATGATGAGTACAAGAAAATCTAAAGATAAGTGCAAACAGCGTAAATGTATGTAGGAATATTGAAGAAACATGATAGTTCTAGAAATTAAAATAATTTAAAAAAGCAAGCTAATAATGATGAATATTATCGATTATCAAATAATCAAAATACTCTACAAATCCTAAAGAAATAAAAAACATTAACTATCTAAGAGTAACAACCTGAATATAACATAAAAAATGCTAAGATTTTGACGATAAACTCTAAAAAACCCATTAATTAGTTTGGAATTTAGAAAAATAAAAGTTTCTCGCCTGGCATATAGAGAAGTAGTACAATGAGTTTGAAAAAGTATTGAACAGCGAGAGAATAACCTCTATTTATATAAATATCTTATCGAATTGAAAGAATTTGAATGTCATTTTAGTTGAGTTCTTAATGATTTAAAGCTATTAAATATATTTAATTTATTTAAGTATCAATAAAATAATTCATAAGCAATAAAAGCTAAATAAGGGGTTTTGGGGTTTTGGGG